TTGTGATGACAAAACCATGCAGACACTGAACCTGGATTTTTTTTTTAATTACTGGAAAATCAGGGAATTTGGTTTTCTTCATTGAGTCACACCCTGTCTAGTCGGTTCTGACTCAATTTTATGTCAAAATTGACGCTCGTATATGTCAGTCTCAGTGCACCTAAATTTACATTAATTTTTCTAAGTGTGTGCCTATCATGAGCTTTCTTGTAATTTTCCAATGATCAAGCAATCATCATAATTCTCATATGGTTTTGACATCAGCATCTATAACTGATTTAGATGAATTCAAGACCATCAATTGAAAGGGCCTCAACTCCATTTTGTAAACAAACCTTGTAAGGTCATTTTCTCGCGAACCGAAACGTACATTTTTTTTTTTTCCGTAAAAGTATTGTTTATTTCTTTGTTAAAACATTAATTTACACGTATTATTGTTCACAATCGATGTAAAAATTTAGGGCACTAACATCTATTCTATCGTTAACAGAATTAACATAGTCGATGTACAATACAAAGATTTTCAAAATTTCGTTTCGTTTTCTTAGCCCTATGTTTAGAAGTTCTGGTCGAAGCAGATCCTCGATGGACAGCCTTTGCCAGCCACCGAGTATCGTCGTAGTCCTCTGCTGTATGGAAGCCCATGCGTGCGCCACGCGGGGGCAGGCGCTGAACTTGTGCTGCAATGTTTCAACCGTAGCGTTGCAGTGCAAGCAGCTCTCGCCGTCTGCCCGTTGGATGATCTTTATCAACCTTCTATGCTCCGTCTTCTCGTTGATCAGCATATACAAGCTGCTCCTGCTCCGCTGGCTTGATGACAGTTGTTTCGACCCGATATTCGTCCATATATGTCTCCAGTTTGATCCAGGATATTTTCTCTCGACCCGTGGTATATCTGTCCGCTCCAGAAGAACACGATGAATTTGGTCGCTGGAGGGGTGTTCTCGGATAAGTGGGGGGAGAAGTGGAATTTGTTGGGCTAATAGTTTAAGGCAAGGAAGATCTGCGGGAAGAGGAATTGCTTGGTTCAGAAGGGACTGATAGTAGGGAAGGGAGCCACTATCCTGTAAGTGACGGTTCACCAGAAGCGCTTTGCATTTGAGTGCCGGTAGCTGCAACTTTAGTCCGCCAGATGCTTTGTCTCGTGCCAATTGTTCCATAGGAACCCGCGCCGGTTGGCCGCGCCACAAGAAGGAACCCATGGTTGCTGTGATTTTCGCTGTGTGGACACAATATGGTGGAAGGATTGATGCCACGTACCAAATCCTTGCCGTGATATAGGTATTTAGCAAAATAACCTTCTGTTGAAGGTTAAGTCCCCTCATCGAGTGCAGCCACAAATGTTAAGCAAATTTGGTAACTTGAGCATCCCAATTAATCTTAGTCATTGCGCGGATTGAGTTAGTGAAATAAATGCCAAGAATCTTCACCGTTTCTACTGTTTGCAACCATGGCACATTCAGTGGATCTCCATCAATGAGCCCGACGTTGATTGCAACAGTTTTCAATCTATTGAGCTTTGCGCCGGCGGCACGTTCAAAACGTCCGAACAGGTCATTGATGCGCTCAATCACGCGTGTATTGGTAACTATAACAGACACATCATCTGCGTAAGCCACCACGAGATCGGGGCCGACGAGTCGCTCCAGTTGTTGCAGAAACGGATGGAGGTAGATGACGAACAGTATCATAGACAAAGGGTCCCCCTGGCGAACCGAACGTTCGATGGCGAAGCTCTGCGAGAGATGCCCGTTGACCAGCAGGCGAGACGAAGATTGTCCGGCAATACGAGCCAGTAAACCGACGAAGGCTGGGTTTATCCCCAAATGCCGCATCGTTCCATAGAGAAATGAGTGGGACACTCGATCGAAAGCGTGATCGAGATCGTAGCTTATTAGTTTCCCTCTCCGCTTCCTCGCTATCAGCTCTGCAATGCGATCCTTCAGAGAAAGAGTTGCTTGAAAAATTGAGTGCCCTTCGTTAGAGCACTTCTGCGCATCGCTCAAAACCGGGTACGACCTCAACACAATCTCCAAACGAGATTTGAGTATACGGCTGAGGATTTTGTAGTCTGCGTTTCGAAGGCTGATCGGTCGGTATCCTCGTGCCGTGTTTACAGTTCCTCTCTTTCGTACAAGCACGATCACTCCGTTGACGAACTCAGCGGGGAGCTCCGTGGTCATAGCTTCGTTTAAAACGAGATTTAACTCTCGGTGGATGACATCGAACGTACGTTGGTAAAATTCGACGGGAAGCCCGTCGCTGCCAGCAACCTTCGAATGTATTCTTTTAGCGCTATTGCAGTCCCCCTTCTCGAATGATCGACATTTGCGACAACGTTATAGCCAGGAATCGAGAGCTGCTCGTTCTCCACTTCTTGCAGAAACACGATGTCAAGCTCCATCGTTCTGATAAAAGTTCGGAAGGCGTTGAGTTTTGTTTCGTTGGTGATCGTGTTTATATTGATAGTAGTGATGTTGTAGCTGGCGATTGGATTCACGATTGGTTTTCCAGATCCCGCTCGTCATCGATACCATCTCGTCGCTTTCTGGCTCTAGGGCGTCCTCTAGAGTTTGTGCTGTGCGTTGACATTGCCGAGTCGTCTGTCTCGTTGCCATCGGACTTTCCACCATCAGGGGGCTGTTGACCGGGCGTGTTGGACAGCGACCTTTTCTCCGGCGGCGGTTTTGGACCCGATACGGGTATGATGGGGAGAGTGAGTGGAGGAAATTGTGTCTCCGACTGCGTGTTAATTGGTTTTTGTGTAACCGACAACAACTGCTGTTTCGGCTTCTTAGAAGGTGGGGGTTTTGTCTGTAACGTTGGCTTTTGGCTCCGTGGCTTCGCATTTGGTTTGGTTGGTGTTGGTGCAGGCTGCTTTGTCGCATCGGCATACGACTTGTGCACTAGCAGCTTTTTGTTCTGCACGCAGGTGGCGCCGATGTGGATGAAGTCCCGGCAGTGTCGGCAAGTTTGACGTTGACCAAAATAGGATAGCAACGTCGTTTCCCCATCGATAGTGACCCACGACTCGATGATGTGTTTCACGATCATCTTGGCAATTCGAACACCAGTGGAAATGCCCGGAAAGTACAAATCACCTCCGCACATGTGTTCGCGAACTGAGATGACGTCACCGTACGCGGACAGGAATTTGATGATGGCTTCGTCTGATACGTCCTCAGACAGATCGTACAGCTTCACCTCCACTGCCCCGTCTTCCATGGTTATTCGCAGGGGAACCGTCTTCCCCTCACCCACTTGCACTTCGTGTTTTCCGTCGTGTTCTTCGCACACTTTTTGTGCCAGCTCCAGGTCGACGACCTTCACGAAGGCACACCCGAGACTTCTGCTACACTGTATTCTCAGCACTTCACCGGGCTTTAAACCCAACATGGTTCCAACAAAGCTTTGCACTTTTGCATAGTCCGGTTTTTTCGGTAACATCGCATAATCTATGCGGAATGTGTTCGCGCGACGCGCCATCGTGGAGTCGTAGTACGCGGGAAAACGCTACGGCTCGGCGATGGAAAAACGCAGCGCGACAAACGATATATAGCTTGAGATCGACTTCCAGAAATAGCGATAGCGTAAGTACGTCTGCTTGGCTCGGAAGTTGAGCGCGAACTTACATTCGCAAACCTAAAACACAATCGGGTAAAGGAGAATTTCCCCTACCTGTTCATTTTATTGGTTTGCGGTTTGTCGGACTTCAGCTCGTGACAAAATGGCCTACAAGTACAAGGTTTGTTCACAAAATGGACTTGGGGCCTTTTCAATTGTTGGTCTTGAATTAAGGCAAGGAAGAACATCGATGAATGTTACTTAGGGTCTAATCAATTGTTTGGCTTGAATTCTGAGATAGTCTTAGTAAAATTTCAAGAGAAATCTTAGGAGAATTTCTGTGGCGCATTACAAAAAAAAATGAGACGAGAGTTTCAATGCAATTCCAAGGAAATTCTCGAGGAAAATTACAAAGAAATTCTGCACGGTCAATGAGAACGATCCAAATTGAGTTTAGTTTCCTCATAATCACCAAAAGTGCAGGAACTTAGCGATGAGTGAATTTGCCGCATGTTTCTCTGTTGAAAACCTCAAAAATTTGCCGGAAAATGAGGAAAATTGACGAAAATTTTATTCAGTCTACGAGTAGTACCAATGGACTGAGTGAATCCAATCTTTACTTTTCTCATATTCGGCAAATTTACTCATCGCTGAATTCCTGCACTTTATGTGATTTATGCGTAAACTTAACTCAAATTTGGGTCGTTCTCATTGGTCGTGTGTGAGTTCCAAGAGTTCAAGATCCCTGACATGGCAAAATTTTCAAGGTTCGAACATGGGAAATTCCGGACCTCAACAAATTTTCCAAACTCTAGGACACTTAGGTCAGACTTAGGTTATATCTCAGACTAAAAAAATGTGATATCCCGAACTTTCAGACTTAACAAAAATGTCAAAATGCAAATTCAGATGTTTTATACTGTATGCGCTGGCACATTTTTCAAAGCAGGTTTCTCTTCTTTAACAATATGGTCAATTTATATTTATTAGAGATTTTGCCCCTCTCTTTTTTGGGTATGTACTCCTCCCTTAGAAGCAGTTGCTCATTAGCTCTTCGTTCAGAATACTTTCTAAGAAACTTAGATACAAGTTAGAAAAGATCACAAAACTTGCACAGGATGTTTGTGTAGTTTGAGGATTAGTAATCTAGTGCCAGTTCGTTGGTCGTCCAATGGAACTCTTCCTAAGAAAATTCAGAAGGACTTTCAGATTATCCAAACATTGCAGAATTTGAAAAACTTCCCAAATAAAGCTCAGTGGTCCTAAAAGCAAAGTTCAGAAGACTTATGGGGGACACCCCCGGAACATGATTCATGTGTCATTGCGGCATTGTCTACTGTGGATCTCGAAAATCCACGTTTGTTATACCTACTGGAGAGCAATCGGACCATTGACACACTCTGAACTAATATTATCCTCTCATCCCTTCCCCACAGATACGAAGATATTTGCCCATCCACCCACAACATGGACGTACCACACGTTAAGCGCGAAGACTACCAACTCACTGACATCGATGATGGCTTTTTAGTTCTCCTGAATGACAACGGCGATTTACGTGAAGATCTTAAGATTCCAGATGGTGACTTGGGAACCCAATTGCGTGCTGAATTCGATTCCGGCAAGGAGTTAGTTGTAAGTATTTGTTTGTTTCCTTAAACACCCACCTTCCTCATTTTGATGATGAATGGTAGACCAAACACTCACCTTTGTTTTTTTTTTGTCTTCCCTTCCACAGTGTACCGTTCTTAAATCATGCGGTGAAGAAACTGTGATTGCCATCAAGAACAACACTGCTGCTGATAAGAACTAATACCTCGCCCGTTGCTTACTATACCATCCCGCGAATCACACCTACACACCAACAGCAACAACACAATTCAGCCAAAATCCAAACAGTTCTATTCGCGCTGCTATACTACTCTACAGTAAGAACAACAACAACATTCACATACAAACACTCAAGCGGATCAGAGGACACTGATACTCTAGTGCAGGCAAAAAAGTGTTCCTCCCCTTCTTCTGTACACACCCACACTAACAGCAAAATAAAGGACGAACACAAACACACATACAGTTGCAACTATTAGTATAAAGCTATTATTACAGATCACAAAAAAAAGATAATAAATTTAATACTTTCTAGTAAAAGTAATTAACCTGAGGTAGAACGAAGACCACATTACGCAGCAGTAGTAGCCGCAAAACTATGGGGTTGTCCGTAAACTACGTGGAGGCTACTTTGTACGATCCATACAAATTTTTAAAATTTTGTATGACGATTGTCTGTGTAGGGGGAGGGGAGGGGGTTCAAAATCTCTCAAAAATTGTCTACGTGGTTCATGCACAACCCCCTATAAACTCAAACAAAAACAAAAGTTAAAGAAGAAGTTGAGGAAAATGATGCAGAGCTGAGCGAAAACTGGGCTTTCGCAGTGACAAACAAATCCATGCCGGGAGAGCAGAGAAACCGAGAAAGAGAGAGAAAAGGGACAGATCAGTGGTGTTTCATGAGTTGTGTAATTGAACACTAGAGTGGAGAAAAAGCGGTTCCCCGTTTTTTGTACAATGCTTCAACACGTAAACAGAAACAACAGTAATAAAAAGGCAAGAAAAATCGAAACACACATTAATTATTATAATAAATTTAAAGGAGAAGAAAAAACCATATAATATAATAAAAATATTATAATAATTTAATGAAACCCAACAACAGAATCAATAACTAAAGAAATTCATCCGTGAGACGAGAGCTAGTTTAAGACAAGGCGGCAGGTTCACACTACTAAGACACTCGTGAGACAACAGCGTAAGAAAAAGGCGAAACGGAAAGTCAAGGGCTGAGAAACATCCAATTCCAAAAAAAAAGAAAAGAAACAGAAATCAGACAAAACAAACAAAATATAAACCAGCAAGCTATGTTGAATAAAATATTTAATTTTCTAACAAACAAACAAACAAAAAAGTTGTCAAAATGTAAACCAATTGGCTTATTTTGCATACAAAGAAAGCTCTTGTAGAGTAGACTTATAAAACAAACAACAACAAACGAACAACACTCAAAATCAACTGCGGCTGCATCGGTTGCAACCGAAAAAAACAAACAATGTGTTAAAGTGGCACGCGAGTATCGCATCGGAGAACTTCATTCTGTCTTTTCGTTGTGGCGCTTCGCTCGTCGTTAGTTTCAAACCGATCTGGAAACAACTGTTGGACACCTTCTGCGTTCGGTGGTTCGGATGGCGGCGATAAGGATGCGGATTTCCTGTAGCACCTCTCAAACAGCGGTGACCAAGGGATCGCGCGCGCAACGCACCCCAGCCCCACATATGGTCGCCCGATAATGCCAAACCGCGAGAGAAATAGGTGAGATTATTGTGCCTGTCTGTTACTCCAATTTACAAGCTTGCCACAACCCGATGATCCTTTTTGTTGTTTTTGTGTTCTTGATGGATTAGTCGTGAAATCGACTAAGTTATAAAAAACTATTCTGCCTTTGTCGTTTACTCGCACGGAAAATTTCTTGATGTGTGAAATGATGCATTTCACGAGACGATTACCCGAACATGCAACGTTAGACATTAGACAACACATTAGAGAATTTAGGGGAATTAGAATTTACATATTCAAATGGGGATCCTATAACCACAAACGGACATAATTCTAGCATGTTTTTCATCGAACATCAATTCAAAAAATGTCCGCGCATAGTCGGCTCCCTTGCGTTTGACGTTTACACACTACGGCTATCTGTTGAGCGAAATGCCCATGCATGACAGTCTACCAGCGCAGTGGCAGGCGCGTAAGCAACATGTTATACGGTGACAGCGGGCCCAGCACAGCCTGCATGCCTGCCTACTGTCAAATGCTGCTGTTGGTATAGGCCTTGTCAATGGCCTGCAGTCTACTCAATAGATGATGGCGGTAGTGTTTTAGTGACAATGTTTTACAGTGAAAAATATGCAATGTCTGTTGGTCTGTGCTATAACACTACCCCGAATGTTCCTTTAACGATGGAAAAATGCTATATAGCGTCTTCTATTTTATAAACCTATCGCTTAATTACCTCTAATTCAATAAAATATTAAGGAAGAAGAAAATTATCTTTTTTTTTTCTTTGAAAGATGGAGTTGCTCTTTCATATTTTTGGAGAACAGAAGATATTGATTAAAAGGAGTTTGGTTGGTTGGTTGATTATCTTCATTGTTTTCGAGATTTTGCCTTCGTTTGACTGCTGATCGTTCTTTTCGCATTTGGGGTTATAAAATTCAGGGAAGTGCCTTTCGGGGTAATTTAGCTAAGGTTAGGTTTTCTTTATTAGGGAGGCTTTCAGTTTGGAGGTAATTTAGCACACGGTGAAAACGCACACACACAAATCACTCATGATGAAGTCAAATGCTGCGCATTAACGGTTATGAACTTCGTTTCGGTTAAGCTTATTGCGAGCCTAGACCTATGATCGCTCAAAACCCCATGGAATATTTGCGAAATTGCGATGAATTAAAAAATAAAACATCTCAGAATCAGGCTTGCTTCCACTCACTTGCTATAAAAAATTTGTTTTTCGGAATTATGAAATCATTAGATATTATAATGATAGTTGGTAGTTGTATGTCACAAGATAAGGTTGTAAACTAGGTGCTTGACACATAAAACCAGATAAAACCTGTCATTATTGCTTTCAGTGCGTCACAATCAGCGATTTTACGATTCGTGAGCGCTCATTCTGAGTGAACGCTCACGAGTCATAAATTCGCAGATTGTGACGCACTGAAAGTTAAATTGACAGGTTTTATGTGTCAAATACATACCTTCCAACCTCTTCTTGTTTCTGACAAGTACAAACTTTCATAATAGCATCCAATGATTCTTTAATTCCGAAAAACATTATTTATAGCGATGTGAGTGGAAGTAACCCTGAGTCAGAATTTGAATAATATTTTATTTTATTTTTATTTGTTTCAACGATTTGCGTCACCTATTTCGTCGACACACATAGGGGGTTATTCCGAGAGTCGAAGTGACTTTTATCACTAGTGAAGTGACAGTCAGCAATGGAGCAGATTCGTAGGAAGATTTTGAGGTCATCTGCATATGGGGGCTTATTACGGATGTCACTTCACGGTGAAAACTTGTCACTTTTCGTCACGGTGAAGTGATTACCATTTGATTTGTACGGCAATCACGGTTCTTATTATGAGTATCACTTCCTTATCACCGTGTAGTGACACCCGTAATAAGGCCCATGATAACCGAGGAGCTTCGATGACCAGATGTACGTCGTTGAAGTACAGTATAAAAATTAACGGTCCCATGTGGCTTCCCTGAGGTATACCTGATGTGGCGAAGAAGCTAGCTGATCTGCAATCTCATATGGCAATCTTTAGTTGCCGACCGGCAAGATATGATCGAAACCAACTCAGAAGATTACCGCATACACCGAGCCTGCCGAGTTTAGCAATCGCAATAACGTGGTTCAACTTGTCGAATGCTGCGGATGGGTCTGAATAAATAACGTCCGTTTGAACCCAATCCGACATGCTTTCGGTTATATACGATGTGAGACACAGCAGATTGGTGGTTGTAGAGCGGCCGACAGTAAACCCATGTTGATCAGCACTCAAATACTGCTTGCAATGGGACAGCAACGGTTCACTAGCTCGAATAGCTTCGAAACGGCACTTAACGATGTAATTCCTCGATAGTTATCCACAGCTCGTTTCCTTCCTTTTTTGTGGACGGGAAACATGTGCGCAAATTTCCAGCAAGATGGAAATATGCCACCTGAGGGAGACATTCGGAACAGGCGAAGAAGCGGAATTAAAAAGCTAGCAATCCCCCTTATTCTGCGAGTCACGTGACTCTCTGTCACCGGTGAGGTGACAATTGTCACCTCGTGTGAGGTGACTCTCCATGTAAATCAAATGGAGAGTCACCTCACACGAGGTGACTATTGTCACCTCACCGGTGAGAGAGAGTCACGTGACTCGCAGAATAGGGGGGAATATGTCTCTTCAAAAATACAGATGGAACTCCATCAGGTCCAGGATTGAAGGACGACTTGAGCAGAGTCGCGGCCTTAGAAATCATTTCTGCATTAACATCAATTGCACCCAGCGTTTGATCGTTTACTGGAACGTTCCTGGCAGCCAGGTTAATATGGTCCTCAGTTAGTATCTCATTAGTGAATACACTGGCAAACTTTTCGGAAAAAAGGTGGCATATATCCTGAACAGTGGCAGCAACTTCTCCGTTTAATTCCATACACGATGGGAGGCCGGATTCCCTGCGTTGCTCGTTCACATAGTTCCAAAAGGATTTCGGGTGTAGCTTAAGTTTGCGCTGGATGCCTCGTTGGAAACTTGAAAAGCATTCACGACTGAGTCGCTGGTACATGTGATTCAGCCTCACATAATGTAGTTTCAGAGGAAGCGTGCGATACTTCGTAAATCTTCTCAATGCTGCTCTCTTGATTGACTTCAACCTACGTAGCTCTCTCGTCTGCCAGGGAGGGTGAGACATTTTGTGGTGAGTTCTTTTCGGGACGTGTCTGTCAATGACATATGCCAAGACATGTGAAAAGGTTTGCGCTGCAGCCTCAACGTCATCTGGATCAAGGATGTTCTCCCATACCATGCTAGACAATACATCTATGATGCGACGGTGGTCAGCTTTACGGAAGTCATAAGAAACCGTAGCAGGATAGTCGTCGAAATCACGCACGAGTTTGTCCTCAACAGTGACAATTAGAGGAGGGTGATGTGGAACTAGCTTAGTTAGTGCACAAAGAGCCGAGAAAATTGACGGAGCCCTGTCCTCACGAAGCAGATGTCCAAACTACGACCATTTTCGTTAACTACATGGTTAATTTGAGAAAGCGTCGCTGCGCTATAGTTGTCGAGAAGGCTAATAGCTCTTGCGTGAAATGAAGAGCTATCAGGATCTGGGTACAGGAATCCGCTATGAGATGGACTCCACGAAACGCCTGGCAGATTGAAGTCACCAAAAATGAATCCTCCCTATTCTGCGAGTCACGTGACTCTCTCTCACCGGTGAGGTGACATTAGTTACCTCGTGTGAGGTGACTCTCCATTTGATTTACATGGAGAGTCACCTCACACGAGGTGACAATTGTCACCGCACCGGTGACAGAGAGTCACGTGACTCGCAGAATATGGGGGAATATCTCATCAACTGGAGTGACACTTTCGACAACTGTGAAAACTGACCGACAGTGAGTATCGATGAGTTCATTATCGCGGACTCGATCAGGTCGGGTGTAACAACTTTTGTAAACAATAACTTCTCTCGATGATTTCTAGAAAGTCAAGGCTCTCCCGCGCAAATTTACATCCCCCTCGAGTAGGAGAAGACTTCCCCTACCCGATGGTTATATTGGTTTGCGTGGACGTGCCTTGAATTGCTAGAAATCATCGAGAGAAGTCATTGTTTACAAAAGCTGTTGCGCCCTAATTCCAGCTCTATCTAGAATTTTACAGGAGTCAGTTAGGACTATTCTGCGCGGCGTTTGAGGTAAGGGGACAGTGAAGTGACAATAATTGTCACCCCGAGTGAGGTGCCTCTGCATTTGATTTGAACAAAGTCTCACCTCACCCGAGGTGACAATTGTCACTTCACTGTCATCTCACGTCACACGCCGCGGAGAATAGGCCTAAGTATTTTACTGGGTTTTTGAATTGCTGAAAATGTCGGTAAAAATTCAGATGACCGTTACAGGGTGTCGACTGTCTGTAAAAATCGTATAATA